GAAACAATCAACAAAACTGACAGACAACCTACAGAAGGGGAGAAGTTATTTGCAAATGACATATCTGATAATGTGTTCGTTTCCAAAATATCTAAGGATTGTCATTTTTTTTTAAAGTTATATTGGATGCATTTGTATTTATGTATGGTTAGACTAAAGCCAATGTTTCTCTTTCTCCAAACAGCTTCCTCCTCTCTGGCCTCCACTTTCCATTCTTCATTCCTGTAGAAAGAACAAAATATCTAAGTGCATATTCAGGGATTGACAGAGACATGCGGTTGCTCCAGCCAAGTTTGTCATTTGGTGCAACAGGCAAGCTAATAATATTTTGTCCCAGCAAACTGCTATTGTTTAAAGGTATAATTAACATTTTGTATTAAGGGCAGGATTGATGAATGTAAAGAGGGTTTTATTTAGTTTGTTTTAATTTCTTGTCAAAACGCTGCCTTCTTTGGGAGAAAATAATTTCAATTTATATTTTAACAGTTACAAGGAAACACCTTAGCTAACTAGCAGCCACCACAATTTTGCCCTGTTCATGTTGTTAGCAATCCCTAATAGAGGAATTGTTTTAGCAATCCCTAATAGAGAGTTGCCCGGGTGCCCTGCTCACTGTCCCCTTAATCTGGCCGTGGACACATGGACAGCAGCAAGAACACAATGCCCATCTCTTCCTCCTCCCCCATTATCTGATACTTCTTTCCTGTTCTCTCTCCTATGCCATCCTGCCACCTTACTTTCCACCCCTAAAGCTCTCCTTGCTGCTTTACCCCTTTTCCTTTCCTTTTTCTCTCCTCGGATAAAAGCTAAAGAGAGAAATAAAGACAGTAAGATTAAAGTAACACATCTTCTTTCTCCTACTCCAATGCATCTTCCTTAGGGCTACAAAGCTATCTTCCCCACTTTTAATATAATCACTTAACTCCCCAACTTAAAATCATTATGTAACTCTGCATTTCTTTAAAATACTGTCCAAAAATCTTTAGTGTGTGTACAAGGCTCTGCCTGTATTAGAATAATATGTTTTTACATCTATATTCCTGACTAAACTGAGAGTCTCACAGGACAGAAACTGAGTGGGGAGTATGTGTGTATGGGTGTGTGTGTGTGTGTGTGCACATATGTATGTTTTTATTTTCTCCTGTATTCTAAGCATTTAATTTAGTGCCAAGTACAAAGAAAATTTGTAATAAATGATTGTTGAATAAGGCAACTTACAGAAGTTGTGTCTCAGTTTTTAGTAGTATGTTCTCTGGGCTGTAAAGATGGAAAGCTCTTAGTTCACAGGCATGATGAAGTTTAACAAAGATTAAGACAGGCCTCTCTTTGACCTCTGTCCCAAAGTGATAATTACAAAATTTAACAGGGATATTCTAAATAAAAGGATCTGTCTTTGTTGTATAATTATGAGGACTGATTCTAATGGCAAAATGTTCTTAAAAACAGGAGACAAAGCCAGCAGTCTTGCAGTCATGAAGACATAGGTGCTCAAGTGGGTGGATTTTGATTCATTTTAAATTGACCAGTTATTTATTTGTGTCTAATTATGTCTTTTCACCTAGAAAAGGCTTAATAAATAATAAAATCCATATTTTGTTGTTTTAAATAATTTTTTGTTAAACACCACCTAACATGATTTATGTTGAGGGTATTTTTCACATAATGTATGGTGACTATCTCCTAAGATTCTCCTACATGTTAAGCTTCATAAATTTTACGCTAGCGAGCTTCCACAACCTTGGCATACAGTGTTTTCTTTTTTGCAAACATGTAGAATTTATTTGGGAGGGAAAGTGAGAGGCAGCCACCACATCAAGTCTGAGTCTCCGATAATGCAGAGGTTATACAGGCTGCCATGAAAATCTGTTTCCCAGTGCTTACTCTCAATTGTTTAAAAAGATGTTAGATAGTCAAAGATAAATATTGATCAGTATGTGTGGTTGTTGCATCCACAAGCAAGAGTGGGAAGGTGGGATTTAATGTTAAATTAATTATTTCAATGGAAACTTTTGCATGCTGACATAAAGCAACACATGAAATTCAAAGAACAATTATAAGTTATTTTCTTCAGACTTCAGCGCACACTAGCAAAAACCTAGTGAACACATCTGTAAACTATCTGCTCATGGTTCTTTCCTCTCTCTTCTTCAGTTCACAGTTCAAAGTCTTCCTCTGCCAAATCCTATGAAGTAATAGAGAACAGGTTTGTCTTAATTATGTAGTTTGATAATGGAACACTTGTTATAAGCCATTTTTTGCCCTTGAATATTTAATTTTGTTATAATTATTGTTTCTGTATTTCTCTTTTAAAACCACCTTGAGTATTATTCCAGGTATGTTTTATCAGTCTTCTAAAAGTTGATAGGAATACAAAGAAGAATACATGAAGAATAGAAAGGTTCTTTTAAAAATATGGTACTGATTTATTCAAATAGATGAAAAGAACTAAATCTTTTCAGCTTGGCCAATTGATGAGTAAGAGGGCTAAAAGAATTTGAAGGGTGTGAACAAAAAACATGGACAACAAATGTTTAGCATTATGCAAATGTTCACTGGGTAAAACAGCAACATGCAAGATAAATTCTGGTTCTAATAAAATGATATTTAGACAAAAACAATTGCCACTGGTTGGAAAATTCATTGCTTGAATTATTTAAACTTAGCAAATAAGAAATGTCAAATGTTTTAGCAGCTCGTAGGATATATAAAAGGTCATATGGAGACATATGGAGACTTAATGAATTATGCAAATCAAACCAAAAATTTTTCAAAGATCACCTTTCACCGTATCATTAAATTCTGACTCAAAGATGCTGAAAATTTCATTATACCTGGTTTGTATTTCATTCTACTAGACTGTTCAGACTTACCTACCTCCGGACCCAGCCCCAAAGCAGCAAGTTGAAAAGCACCTACACCGTATGTGAAGGAGTTTCACTAGCTAAACTTAAAGCACGTGCCGGAGGGACAAGCATCTGTCAGAACTCTCCCCAGGGATGGAGGCATTGGCAGGCATCATTTCTGCATTTTCCCCGTACCTTGTTAGCATTGCTGGCCCCAGCCCTGCCCTCTCCTGCCACTGCGATCCTGCCCTCATGGCCAAAGACACAGGAAAAGATCATGCTCAACATCACTAATCATTAGGGAAATGCAAATCAAAACCACAACGAGGTATTACCTCACGCCAGTCAGAATGGTTATCAAAAGACAGGAAATAACAAGTGTTGTCAAGGCTGTGGAGAAAAGTGGACTCTTGTGCACTGTTGCTGGGAATGTAGATTGGTGCAGCCACTCTGGAAAACAGTATGGAAGTTCTTCAAAAAGCTAAAGATAGAACTGCCATATAACTCAGCAATTCCACCTTGGGCATTTATCTGAAGAAAACAAAAACACTAGTTTGAAAAGATGTATAGGCCCCTATGTTCATCGCAGCATTATTCACAATAGCCAAATATAGAAACATCCAAAGTGTCCATCAATGAGTGAATGGATAAAGAAGATACATATACACACACGCAGTGGAATACTTGGACATAAAAAAGAATGAAATCTTGCTGTTTGTGACAACGTGGATTGTTGTCACAACATGGATGGTATTGTTAAGGGAAATAAATCAGACAGAGAAAGACAAACCTTATACATTGAATCTAAAAAACGAAATAAACATACAAAAGACAAAATTCATAGATGCAGAGAACAGATCGGTAGTTGCCAGAGGGAGGGAGATTGGGAGTGGGTGAAATGGGAGAAGGGGGTCAGGAGATACAAACTTCCATTCATAAATTAAATAAGTCATGGGAATGTAATGTACCGTATGGTGACCATAGTCAACAATATTGCATTGCATGTCATGTAAGTTTATATGGTGATAGTGGGAAACCAGACTTACTGCAGTGATCATTTTGCAGTGTATACAAATATCAAATCATTATGTTGTACACCTGAAAATAATATTATATGTCAATTGTACCTCAGTAAAAACAATTCAAGTATTTTTTAAGTCATGTCAATTGCAGAACATTTAATATTCAGTGCTGAGCATGGAAGCTTGAAAATCATGAAAGAGATAAATAAGGCACATAGACGTTTCAGTTCGATGATTTTAGTTTAATATTTAATGAGTCGGCTATGAGAAAGGCAAGATGCTGAGCAGAGAGGGGATTGCAAAGAAAACAAAATAACCCTTGTTAGATAGTAGTTTACCAAATAGAAGTAGACATGAAACATATTTGCAAAACTATGATAGAGTGATTAAAGCAAAATGTGTGATACAAATACCAGTTCTCAGTAAGAAAGGTAATTAAATCATGGCTGAGGCTGAATATTTCAAGCACAAAAAACACAAATGGAAGGAGAGGCATTCTAGATGGAGAAAATGGAATCAAATATTCACAGGTCACAAGTGGTTTTAGAGAAGTTCACGGTTCTGGCTGACACACAGCCAGAACTGCAGCTAGAGTGTGGCCAGACTGTGGGACACTTTAAAGGCTAGGGTGAGAAGTGTGGATTTTATTCCATCGGAAAACCAATGGACTTTCTTAACAGGAGAATGACACATGGAATAAATGCTTCTGAACCATTAATTTTTCAGAAACACACAGGAACAGCTAAAGTGGGTAAAAATGTAGGCATGAAGGTCACTTCATCATCTTAAACCACTGCATAATCTTAAAATCATCAGAAACTGAAGTATGGGGCTGGCAGCAGGAACGGAAAAGAAGGAAGGAAAGAAGGAAGATTTGGGGGGGGGTACTACAATACATTTCTAAAATTTTGCACTGGCAATACATTTTTTTTAAGTTAATGGTCTTTCTTCATTGGAATAATAAAAAAAAAAAGACTAGCATTTACAACTTGGAATGGACGTAAATTGTTATTTCTTGATCAGCAATGTTGATGCTTGTGCTGAAGTCCACGGCCACAGCCTACTCTGCTGGCTCCAAGTCATGGTTCAGGAGGTTTTAAAAACAGAGTGTCCCAAGATGCTCCCTTGGTAAAGGTTTAAAAAAAAAAAAATGTGTGTGAATGGTGACAGCCTGACACCCATTTCGCTCTAAGACAACACGGGACAACGCTAAACCAACACACACGGCATGCCACCAGGATGAGTGTCATGGTCACCATGGGTGGGGGCGCCCGGAAGTACGAGAGGGTCGTCCTGCTAAGTGGGGCTGCGTCTAGACAGGTTATCCTTCACCCATTTTTCTGCACAGCATCCTGAGGTAAACCAATTTTAAATGTTTTGTTTTCAGTAAACCAGCTCTGACAACTTATACTAACAAACTGAACTAGAACCCATTTGAAGAAGTTTTAAATTTGTTTTTTTCATTTTTTGTTTTTAATACAAATGCCTGACTGTGCTCAATTGTCAAGCTGCATGCATGAAAAACTGGCCAGTCCAAACAGTGTATTAATAATGAGCAAATGGAACTGCAAGGAGTCCATTAGGTGCTTCCTTATCATTAAGGTAGTACAAGTATTTATATCGTAAAACTGATGTGTAGCTTGATCTTTAGGGGACAGGACCACCAACCAATACATGCAGATTTTGTGTGTGTGGACAGAAGGTACTTTGGACATTCAGTTTTGCTATATAGAAACAGAATGAGTAAATGAACTTTTTTTTTTTGGCAAGAGGTAAATAAAAGATTCAATTTGATTCTTCTAGAAGGGGGGAAAGGAGTTGAAAGTAAGCCTTCATTTTGCAGTCATCATCTGTACGAATTCTTCATAGTTGACTTGCCCATCTCCATCCATAACTGCTTCTCTGATCGTTTCATCTACTTCTTCCTCTGTTAGTTTTTCTCCTGAGTGGGTCGTGACGTGACGTAGCTCCGCCGCGCTGACGTAACCGTTGCCATCCTTGTCGAAGACTCGGAATGCCTCGCGGATTTCTTCTTCACTGTCTGTATCTTTCATTTTTCTAGCCATCAGAGTCAAAACTTCTGGGAAGTCGATGGTGCCATTTCCGTCAGCAGCCACCTCGTTGATCATATCCTGCACCTCGGCTTCTGTTGGGTTCTGACCCAGTGACCTCATGACGGTTCCAAGTTCCTTTGTTGTGATGGTGCCATCGCCAGCTTGGTCAAATGGGGAGAAAGCTTCCTTGAACTCAGCAATCTGTTCTTCGGTCAACTGATCAGCCGTGGTGCGAGCGAAGGCAAGAAGAGCAGAGGGAGCGAGGGCGGCTGCCCCAGCGCAGGGGCCGTGACGGCGGGGGCGCCCCCGCTGCGGCTGCCGCGCTACTGCGAAGGCGCGA